ATTTCTGTCGACTGGGGTCCTGCTTTTATTGACGCCGCAGCAAACTGGGGTGGGTCTGTCGGCGTCAGGGGTTTTCGATAATTTCAAAAGTCGCATTATTTCTGTCTTCTCATTATCGCTATTATTTTCACCCCTACTTCCTCATAGTGCCTTTGGTGGGGAGGCGCGTATGTCAGGTGACCGCTTTCGACCAATGGTTCCTGATCGAGCATTTCTTTCTTTTCTTTTCCGCAGCCACGTGACCGTTTTCGGCTAATGAGACTCTGGTTGGGCGTTTTCCTGCAATCAATCGGGGCGGGCTTATATCGTTCTTGTTCAAAAAAAACAAAATCTAATTTGGCCTTTTTTCGCACGTACGAAAAAATGATAATCTTATTTTTTCTCACCTGGGTTTTGTCAACACAGCCTGCCGCTAATTAGATGACTTCAGGGAAGAATATTGGCGCTATCTGTGAACTGAGACAATCGTTTTTTTTTTTTCACCTCTTGTTTTTGGTCAGACCCGACAGTCAGAAAATCTTAATTATCTACATTGAAATTGTCTTTCACTCGTCAATGTGGGGGTTCTAATTTTTAACAGGTCAGAATCTGTATACAATTCCACCGGTCACTCCCCTCAACCCAAAGACACTTTTTCTCTGATTAAGATTTCGTTCTCATTATTCTTAAAATTTCCCTTTACTCCAAATTGATAATGAGTCTTTCTACGCAAAAGTAGGTCAGATGTTTTGACCGATATCTGGTTTTCATCAAGCGGCCCGTTTTGATATCATGTCTTTTCCCTTTTTTTCTTCTTATTATTTCTAATTCTATTTTTCCAATTGTCTTTAAAAAAATTCGGCCACACGCAGGCCAAGATATCTTTCTGACTCGTGTTTTTGTTAATGACCGCTTTTTGTATTTCTCGGCCTCTCTCTTTGCTTTTCTCTTTTCTTCCTCTTCTTCCCTTAGGATCGTCTAAGTACAATCTTAGTGAATTATTTTCAACTCAATTATTTTTCCGTTTTAAAAAAAATCAACAACCTGTTTAGTAAACCGAGTAAGAAAAAATTAAATCATATTTCTATGAATATTTCTAATAATGCAAGGTGCCACAGACCATCTCAATAAAGTTTGTAAAGTGAAGAATTTCGATAAATGGGTACTACCTGAAATCAATGAAAATCAAAGAGTTCGAGGTTTTGGAGTCAGTTCCATGCTCCATCTGCAAAATTCTAATGGTTCATTTCTTGATCGAATAATGATTTGTGATGAAAAAAGGATCATTTATGACAATTATAAACGATAGGCTAAATGGTATGATCAAGAACTCAAACATTTTCCAAAGCCGAAATTGCACCAACAGAAAATTATAGCGACTTTCTGGTGTTCAGCCATTGGTGTTATCCAGATTTCTGGAATCTAACCAGAGCACTATTACTAGAGTTTATTTCTAGCAACCGGATGAAATGCCATTCAGTTAAGCAAAACAGGTAATCGAAGAGGTTCAATTCTGCTTTATGACGATGTTCCCGATACGTGACCTTGCAACATCCACTATATTATTCTCTTGATCTCTCGCCAATTGATTACCATTTTTTCATGTATCTTGATATATTTTTATGCCAAAAGACATTCACTTGCAAAGAAGATGGAGAAAATCCATTCAAAGATTCCTTAACGGCCAAACATTTAAAGTTTTATTTTAACCATGTAACTCGATGGCAGAAAAATGTAAAGATGTTCAGGGTTAATATTTTCACTGATTTAAATGACAATTCTAAAGAACAAAAAAGAAAGCTTGCAATAATGATGGTGAACCCGATAAAAAATATTGATCGGAGTTTATCTGTGCGGCTTCTAGTATATCAAAGATTGTACTCACTAAATCAAATCTAATTGGCAATATTGAACCTTTGTGTCTGCTAAAAAATGTCTCAAAAGGACGGCTTGACACCGCTATTTTAACTACCTTCACTCCTTGTCAATGTTTATAGTTCTAAAAGGCAATGATTGGAATTTTAAAAAAACATGAATTTATACATTTGCTTTGTTCCTAGGAAGTGATAACAAAATTAATAAACCCTACTTATTTATTAGATTGTTTATTGGAATGGTTAGTAAAAGATCGGCTAAGTTTAACCGATTCGAACTTTATAAAATGGTAAATAATAATGATTTCGTCATAGTTCATATCTTTTAATAATTAATAAATGTTTATAAATTTATGAATAAAAAACTTGTTTTCATATTTATTTATTAATTGTAAATGATAAATATTACATTGCATTAGTGTTAATTGTATTACTTTTTAGAATGTTGTAAATATAAAATTATTCTTGTAAATAAACTAATAAACAAATAGTTATTTATATTTTTTTAAAAATTATCAAGAACAAAAACAATATATGAATTCACTTTCATACAATGTTTAGCTTTTATTAAAATTCTAATTATCGCTTTTTAAAACAATACTCACTGTCGAGTAGTGAATCTAATTAGAATAATAGAGGGGTCAAAGGAAAACTATCCTTCTGATACACCGATTTTTCGGGAACGAGGCTAAAGATTGCCATCCTTTTTTTCTATTCCTCCTCCCACACACAGTATAATTTTGTTCATGGATTATAAGACTATCCTGTAAAACTTGCATTCATTTAAAATAAATTGTCGTAAATAAGAGATGGACTGCGACACTCCTTTACGACACCGTATTCGTTTACAGCCCGTTCTCCGGATTACGACAGTCAGCCATATTAGAGAATACCAGGAGGACGTGCGATGTGAACCTTGCTTGTAGTTTGCCGAATAAAGCTTAGATGAACTTATCTTCCGAGTCTCAGTCTTCATTCTTGACATAAATTAACTGTATTTAACATAGTTATCTACCAAAAATTACAAATCTAAACCCATGATTTGATCTCGGGTAGCAACTTTCACGTCTTTGTAAAATTTTAAAGAATATTATCTTGTCTCCAACATAGATGAATGTTAGCAAAGTAACAAACTTATGCGACAGACTCAAGTATAACCTTTTGGGCGACTATTGAAGTTTGTAGATTTGTCTGTCCCAACAGCACTTCCCGAATATCCTCGTCTTACGTTTATTCGGCCGAAACGATTTTTAATTATTAATTTGAGAAGGCGGTTGTATACAACTAACAAGTCAGATATTTCTGAACGGTTTAGCGCCATGCATAAACTCCATATGAATATCTCGATCTAACGAGGCTATTTGAGAACGTGACTCGAATTCTTGAGTTGATATTTTAGTTTTGAAGCAATTTGCGGTGCTGTGCAAAGCTACAAAGTCGACAAAAGCTCAGACAAGCCTCTTTAGCAAAGAAAGAATGGAATTATTTCTAAAATTTCTCTCAAATTCTTTCTTTTTTAGGTAAGAACTTTCCATCCAGCGATGTGATACTAGGGATATATACCGCTGAGAATACTATGGACTGAAAGTGTGAACAATGACGAAGTTTAAGAAAAATGGAAGCAAAAAGGTCACTTATAGTAAGCATCAGAAAGAGACAGTTGAAATTTCTAGGGCACATAATGAGGAAAGAGGGCTTGGAAAATTTGACACTCATGGATATACTGAAAGTAACAGGGATAGAAGAAAACAGCGATTAATGTACATAACAACTTTATGGAAATGAAAGGTAGAACAAGGACGTTTTTTATACTAATGTTCACCTAATACAAGGTCTAAGAGCCAGTTAAGGTAGAGGTTTACTATATGGTGTTTTCTGAACGTAAGTTAAGACACGAAGTGCAGTTTATATGGTTATGTAGGAAAGATAACGGTTAACTTTACACTTGAAAAGATCAAGGTTGTAGTGATTGGGAAAACATTCTGCCGAGAGCCTTTTCCACAAAGTAGCACTTCTTGCGAAGGAGCTATTCTTACTAATGGAATACGAAGTGAATGTGAATAATTCCTTCTTGTACACGTAGCATGGTGGGTCGCAGCTGCAAAAGTCAGGAGTGGCGGAACCAAGGAAAATATCGCGTCATAATCCTTCCCGAGAAAATAGCAACAGAGCAGCAAGAGACTTGCGACGCCTCGTCTGTGTTAACGGAGTTGTAGCGGGAAAAATAATCTGTCTTGGAGGGATGGTGAAACGATAGCAATCACTAAGAGCTAAAAAGGATAAAAGTTATAGAGTGCCATGAAGGAACCCGGTACATCGAAGTAGATGTAGATCTATCGTTCCCGTGGTCTGAACCAGGATCAAAGACTATTCCAATCACCGGCTAATGCTACACACCTCGACAATGTCAAGAAGGAATCGATTCGACTAACAGTCTAGTCCCTGGGCCCATATACTTCAATGAGACGAAATGCTTTATTCTATATGATAATATCTGCGTGATGCATTGTAAACTTCGTGTTCAAAACATCCAAAAGGCGCTCTACCCCCCAAAAATAATAAGAAGTAGTGAAACATCATTAGAATATTTTTCGCGTCATAGCAGTTAAAAATTTGCTTTTTCTCTCAGAAAGCATATATCTGTTCACTCGGATTATTCTTTACAACAGTAAAAATTCTTTAAACATTTTGAAAATTTGGGGACACAACGATAATCTTTTACCTCGGTTCCGCTAATTTAGTAGTAGATTTTTCAGTTTCTTAAGCCAATCTGACTGTAGATCACTATAAAAAGAAGACATCTTCTCTCTTTTTTTAGCTCTTTTTTCGGTTGGCGGGAAGTATAATGATTCTTCTTATCGTCACCTTACAAATTGACAGGCTTCGAGGACTTATCTCCGGTTTACGTCAAGATAAAGAATGTAATGCTGGTGGCAACTTACAGGTGGTGGAAGCGGGTGAAGATATAGTCGTTGAAATATATATGGACTGTGTTAAGTAAATTTTAGACGGGAGAATTTTGTGAGCTATTTTTGAAGTGATGATTTAGGTATAGGTTAGCGTGGAGAGGTTGGATTAGCAAAAGAGACCGTCACCTCCTTTGTGAGCACTGGTTCTTTCTTTTTTTTTACCTTCTTATCAAAAGGCTTACGACCACATCACGTTGAAACACCTTTTCCAGTAGGATCACCGAAGTTAAGCAACGTTGAGCTTGGTCTGTACCGAAATGGATGACCGTTTTGGAATACCAGGTGCTGTAAGCTTAGATGTGCGGTTGAAGTAATGGATAATGGTTCGAAATTGTTAATCAGAAAACCGAGTTCCAATTCCCGTTGGGTTCGTTATATTCATTTACGCGCAAATACAATGAGGAAAGGTATGAATTCACGTCTTCCCCTCCCAGCTATGGGTTAACTAGTAGTATTATCTAAAAATATTCTTACAATATCTGTCTATATTTCTGAGATAAAGTATTTTAACTATTTGCAATGTTCAGACTGTTATCCTCATCTTTGTTGTCACATTCGCGACGTTTCCACCAATGTACGTCCCGGTCTTCTTCAGGTGATTAGAATTTCGACCCGAATCCACTATTTCGTCCACTGGGGTAGATTGTTCTAGTTCCACGAGCCATGCCTCTTCCGGATATCTTAGTTTCAGTTATTTTCCTTTAGTAACTCAACACTACAAGTTTTTTTTTCACCTCTGCTGTGGCCAGCTATTGAACTCGCAACTCTTTGCGTCAAGTCGCTGGATTACTTCAACCATTGCTTTTATCTACTGGGTTATGTGGCACACGGAAGTACAACAGTCTACCCCGGTGAACGAAATAAAGGGTTCGGTTCGAAATTCCAATAACCTGAAGAAGGCTGGAGCGCACAACGGCCGAAACATCGTGAATATGACAATAAATATGAGGCCAACAGTCCGAATATTGCAAATAGTGTAAATAATATTCTTACAATCTAAAAATATTTCTTGGCTTTAAATAACCTACAAAAGATTTAGAAGCAGTAGAAAAGGAATCAGTCCTGCGAATCAACTTGATTATCCTAACCTATTTCTTCTTGCCTAGACTGTTACTACTAATATGTCTCTTGGTTTTCTTGGTGTATGTTTATAGTGGAGCTCCTGATAATTGGGTTTTCAGTGGTTTCACAGTTTATAGCTTTGTCTCTCTCCATCTATCTATCCAGCAACTACATTTCTTCACCATTTTCCCGAGAGATATTCAAAACTTTATTTGGCGACGTGAAAGATTTCAATCAAAATTGTTACCCAAACTGTCGAGCGGAGCTTTTAGCTTTCAGTAGTAGATAGGGCCATTGAGTATCCCACTCAATCACCGGATTTAGATAACGAGAGACCCTAGCCTATTCCACTTGTGAGGCTCTAGGCTATCCCCCTTTTGAAATCTTTCCAAATCTCCCATTCTTACTAGTAGAGGAAAATGGAAGAGTGTTATATAAAACACTGAGTAAAGCCTAAAATGATGATGGGGGTTTAAAATTATTGAAGGTTTATTTAGAGTCTACAATGCATTATGACAGCATGTGTAAGAAAGGCCTATAACAGTGTCAAAAATATTATACCCCTTGGCTGATGCCGCCTAGATTTTGAAAACCCTGGCTTCAGTGTACTAAGCCTATAGGTAAATCCGGCAATGATCCCACTTTCTACGGATAAGACCAGTGGAAAGGAAACTTCTGAGTATACGGTCGGTGACACAATGGCATTTTTAATTGGCAAGATACTGAGAGATAACCAGCTTGCCATTATGCCAATAAACTGGCGGGATGCCGGTAACTATTAACAGCAGATTATAGCTCTTCCTATCGAAAGATTTAGGAATTGATGCGATATTTTTTCTCTTGACTATAAGATCAAAATACCATTTCCCGGACAAATGGTCAGAAGAAACCTCCACTATTACAACAAATTGTACGGAATATAGAGCAAGGCTTCCTCTAACATATAATAAGGTATTTTATATTTTAACATACTGCTCTGGGGTAGCCTAAAGTATTTTTAGATTATATTCTTTAGTATATATTAGAATTACCAAATTGACTAACTTTCGAAAACAGAATTCTTGTAAATTTTAAATTTCTCTACTAATTTATTTAGCTAATTTAGAAATAAGCTGCATTAAGGCCTGAGGGGACACGGTACATTAAAGGTTGGTTGGTTATTTTGTTTTACGGTATATCAACCTCAGTGGGTCTTTTAATGCCAACAAAATTTTAGAAATAGATTGTAGATTTGTATGTATACATATATATTTGAAACATTTTTCAATTATTCATATTTTTTAGTAGAATCCAACTTCTTTTAGGAAATTTACAGTTTTAGATGATTTTATTTTCGTAAAAAATGTTTTTTTTAAATTACTCACTTGGTAATATTTTGTCCACACTAGGTCAAAATCTACACACTCTAACAGTATATGTTTCACTGTAAATTTTAATTATTGCTGATAATAATTTTTCCTTCAAAAATTATTGCCGGTAATAATTTTTTTTTATTACAAAGTATTTCTGGTATTAAAACCTATTTTTATACAAGTTTGGGTGTTACCTATTTGCTCATAGCTGGGAGCCTAACAGTGCTACCACCCCGGGTCTGGGTGGACCTGGGAACACCAGCAATTAAGAGGTGGTTCCACGCTCCTCAAAACCTCCTGATCAGAGGCCTTGCTGTTGGACGTAGTTTATCGTCTTACCCAGGACGGGGTACATAAAAGGAGACTTTTTTAAAATACCTTCTTTATTCATTCCTCGTTTCCATTTCTTTCGCCAATTCTCGTGTCATGTGGAAGATAGATGTTTGACTTTATGAATTTAAGCGCATTACTCGATTGGCAACACGGTCTCATCAATTTACAGTTGAATTGGCTAGATATAACTGTACTGTTATTACGAACAGTGTCTTCTCTCGCAAGTATTTCGTGGGGAACTCTCTTCCAGATAAATTTGATCTTCAAAAATTTAAATGCAATGTCAATCGTTACCTACTGTCTTCTTGATTCCTCTTCTTTTATTGTTTTCGCTTCTTCATAATGCTTCTCTTTTTCCTTATTCTTCCACACTCAGTAAACCTTTGTGTTTTAGTGGCTTTAATGTTTTGCTTGGGGTGAAATGATTAAAAAAAGGATTGCTTTATCTGTATATTGTGTATAGTCAATTCAAAATTTACATATGGTGGACTTTCAAATATAGCCCAGTTCTCTACTGACTGAGACCAGAAAATAATCTGCTGGGTATTCTACAGCCAAAATAAATATTTTCTGAAATAAAAAAGATGATCCGATTGTTTTAACCCGGCCAAAATTACGAGAAAGTATGTAATAACAGTATTACATAATTTTCTAACACTCGATGAGGCTTTAGATAAACGAGAATTCGTTGGTCAGAAATGATTAATTGAATTGTTATAACGTGACACCAGAAAATCTGCGGTATATTTGTAATATGTCCCATAGGAAACTATTGTGGCTGTTTAATTCGACTCACATTGTCTTTTTAACACATTGAGCGTTCATGACTTGACAGTATTGTTATTTTCATATCAATCACAAACACAGGTACTGCTCTTATACAGTCTCTTGACTCGTTGAACTGTCCAGTATACCACCACCATCACTTAACAAATGTGGGTGGAATTTTAACCTCTTTGTAGAAGTCCTGTTACATCGTCATTGAAACTAGCAACTATGAATTAATTGGGAGAGTCAGCAATAGTTTCATTTTGTGGATTTTTTTTTTAACGACGTTTTAAGCAAGGACATTTTTGGCTTGACTTGTTTGTTCCGGTAAGAAAAAAGAGATAATCTTTCTTCGGAAATTGATCGAACTCCCCTCGACAAATAAGATTCCCATCACTAGATTATTTATCACCTACCGGATCCACTCGGCAGATAATATTATCTTTAATGCAGCAAGGGACAACTCAACACCGCCAACTCAACACAGCCGACCAAACACCTCCGTCTGATCGCCGGGACAACTCAGCACCAGAAAAAGATAACTTTTTATAACCAAATAGAAGTAATTTATAAAGAATTAAAACCTTAATTAGTCAAATAAGGCATTTGAAAGGGCATTATGCCAAATATTAACCAATTTTTTATTTTTAATTATTTTGTAATAAAGAAATCGTAAAGAAATTTATTTTTAATAAAGTAAATTGGCAGATAAATATAATTCAATAAAACACTTGTTTTTAATTATTTTTTAATAAAATAAATCGAAAAATGCAAAACGATATGAAGCAGTTTTTGTCTTTAATTATTTTAATAAAGTTAATCGTAATGTACTTTATTTTTAATGAAATAAGTCGACATTCAATTCACAACATTAAATGTTATAATATTTTTATAAAAATATTTTAGAATTTCGATTTACTTAAATCAAAAATTAAATTATAAAGATATTAAAAATAATTAAGAACAAAAGACTGCTTCATTTTGTTTTGCATTTTTCGGTTTATTTTAATAAAAAATTTAAAAACAAGTGTATTTTATTGAATTATTTTATATGTCAATTTACTTTATTGAAAGATAAGTTTCTTTACGATCTACTTTATTAAAAATAATTAAAAACAAAAAAACTGGTTCATTTTTTTTATATAACGCCTTTTCATATGCCTTATTTGAAAAAACATATTCACTAATTAAGGTTTTCATCCTTAATAAATTAATTTGATTCGGTTATAAAAAACGTTATGTTTTTCTGGTGCTGAGTTGACTCGGTCCTGAGTTGTCACGGTGTTGAGTCGGCGGCTTCAAGTTGTCCTGCATCGATTTAATGAACATTTTTTTTTCTGAGTGTTTTTTTTTTCAAATCAAACCCGTTTAACAAAGTTTAAAGTTTAACAAAGTTATAGCAAATGTGATAAATTAATGCATTCAAATATATATATATATATAAATATATATATATATATATATATATATATATATATATATATATATATATATGACGCTATATGAAATGGATTAAGTTCGACAATTATTTAATATATTTTCTATTTATACGTTATTTTTCTCGATATAATTTATTTCTGTTGTTTTTTTTTTTTTTTTTGTTTTTTTAATTAAACAGTATGAATTACATTTAGCGACCTGAATGTTCGTGAAATTTCGTAAAAAATACGCGCTTTCCTGTAACCCTTATGGAAACCGTCATTTGGTCTGGCGTGTTGCTAACCATTCAACCATACACAAGCGTCTGGTTAGCAAAGTCTAAACTACTGTTTATAAA